TCTGGGTTTCAAATTAGAAACACAATTACAAGAGTTATAAATGAAGAAAGAATATTCCCTCTCCTTTCTTTGCTGAAGAAGGAATCATTTCCTTTAGAGACATTTAACTGAAATTTTCAACAATTCAAAACCCATCAGAAATAACTTAAGTACTGCTTTTGCAGCAGTAATTTATTTTTCCATCTCTGCAGTGACTAAGGAAGGAGAAAAGAAACAGAAAAGAATTTTTACCAATGTATTACCTGGGTCCAGGGGTGTTTCTGGCAGTTGGATTTCAAAGATAATGCTGTGGGTGATGTCTCTGACCCCTTGCATGGTTCTGTCTCTGAAGCAGAGCACTTCAACCCTCTGCAGAACATTACCCCTGCCATTAACAAAAAAGAAAAAAGAYAAATAGAGACAGACATGCAACTTCTTGAATAGGAAAAGGACTTTTTTCAACACAGGTTTGGTCCCTTGCAGATTCTGAAGGAGGCTTTTGCTCTTAGAGCTGAACACTTGCCTTTATAAAGTATAGAAATAGAAATAATTTCTTGAATATAAGAAAATAACTAGTTTGTGAAACAGCTCTAAAGCAATCCTCTGTCATTGATCAAATACTGGACAAMTTGCACATTTAGAGGAATAAAAAGCAGAAAAGCAGCAGAGCACTCATCAGGTGACAATGATGGACTTTGCTGGGCACCAAGATTCTCTGAGCTCTCAATAAATATAATTTCTTATAATCCTTATGATTCAAACCCCAAATCAAACAATGGGAATTTTAGTGCCTAAACCCCTCTGAAACCCAAGGCTGTGTAAAGCTCTTTGGGCATTTTCACCTCCTTTTACAGCTCAACCAGCACTCACCCAACCCTCTCCTTCCGGACAGTTTTGGAATAAAATGTATCACTCAAAACTGTAACAGTGCAACTTAATTACAATTTTGTTACAGTAATCCTGCATTTAATTTTTTTGTTTCAAAGTYTAAATTTTGAAAGTTAAACTTTTTGTTTCAAAAACCAGGGAGTAAAACTGTGTSTTGTGTTTCCATCTTCTGCCCAACAAAAAAAAAAAATAGTACAAGAAAACCTGAGAAGATCTGATTTTCAAAATGGAGGTCTACTATTACTTGACACTAATTAATGATCTAAATTCACAGAATACTTCAAACAAGATTAGCCCTAACCCTAAGTATAACTTAATTACATTTTTGTTACAGCAGACCTGAATTTGTCTCTTTAAATTTTTTGCTTCAAAAACCAGGGGGTAAAACCCTGTCTTGTCTTCCCATCTTCTGCTCAACAAAACAAAAAAAAAAAAGACAGATAGTACAAGAAGAAAACCTGAGAATGTCGGATTTTCAAAATGTACGTCTATTACTTGACACTAATTAATGATYTGCATTCACAGAATACTTAAAACAAGATTAACACTTACCCTAACCACAAATTAATTACATTTTTGTTACAGCAGCCCTGAATTTGTCACTTTAAATTTTTTGTTTCAAAAAACAGGGGTAAAACTGCATCTTGCCTTCCCATCTTCTGCACAAAAAAAAACCCCAAAAAAAACCCAGATGGTACAAGAAGAAAACCTGAGAAGATCTGATTTTCAAAATGTAGGTCCACTATTACTTGATACTAATTAATGATCTGAGTTCACAGAATACTTCAAACAAGATTTGCAAATGCTGGAGGGCATTGGCAGGGTGTGAAGCAGCTATTTCCAGGTCCACGTATCCATGTAGGATTAGGATTAACAGGAATTTGTGACTGCCAGAAGCAAAAAACAGAATAATGTACAAAATGAGAATCACTCAAGGTGAAAAAACAAATCTCAGGTGGGTGATATGAGTGAAATGCCATGGGGAGATAAAGATCTCATTTGATATCAACCACTAAATAATTTTTATGGGAAAGAATGAAATAGATACCATTTGTGGGCTGCCAGAATCAGGAAGTTTCTCAGTGGCCATCCTGGGTAGTGGGATAAATTACAGGGATCATAAACTCCAACCGTCACCTGCAAATGGAATTGCTCCACRTGAGAAGGCATCTACCCACAGGAATATCTGTTTCATAGCAAAAATTATCTGATATTTTTGATGGAAAAAGTCTGGACAGGGAAGGCCTACACACACATTTTGCAAATTTATAAATATTTAATCCATGGTCACACTGGATTTCAGTCAAGCTTTTCCACAGCTCTGAGATTTATTATTTTATGCGATTTATTCAGGACATTGAACTTCAAACCATTCACAAATTAAACATCTGTGTTTTATAAAAAGATCTAAAATCCTCATTACCTTTCCTCCTTGGTCTTGAAAGAAGCCATCCCACTTTTTCAGCAGGGATATCACRACAGAATTGTCATGATATTTGATCAGGAAATAAGGCAGGGCTGTCACCCCCTCCTTCTGGCAGAGGTCATCGTATGCTTTCTGCAGGCCTTGGATCTGGAAGGGAAAAGACACCTGAACCAACAGTTCCAACAATTTTACAGTGTAATATGGAAGAGACTAAAAAAAAATTAACTTCACTCTTAAAAAAATGAAAAATAACTCCTTTTTCTTGTCCAATCATGCATTTTAGCAATAATTTYGTAATTTTAATGACTCAGCTCACTCAGGGGATTCCCCTTTATAAAGGTTTCTTTTAAATGAGTTTCCAAAACACAGCTATATATTCACTAATTATAATTTTATTAACATATATATATCTCAAAAACATAATACATATATAACATATAGCGTAACATTATCACCTCTTAAAGAATTGTTTGCCTCATCTGCATCTAAACTGAGACAATTTATGAAACCATGAAACAAAAGGTAAACAAAAACACCATGTAGAAATAATAAAAAAGKGAAGATTTAAAAAGAAATTAGAGTCTCAAATGACTTCAGTATGTGGTAACAAAATATAGTGAGTTTTACAGCTTACAAAAGTTGTAAATACTACAGAGTCCAGCCCAATAAGTATTTTGAATACCTGATTTACTGTGAACCTGTCCCCAAGACACACAGGTTTCTGAGTTATATGAATTCCATCAGGGAAGCAGAGGGCAGGGTAGCAAAACCAGTAATAGAAATGATACTTCTTTAAATCCTAGGGGGGAAAAAATGTAAAGTTAGATAACAAAGAGAAATATCAAAGTAAATTATGCAATACTAATTATAATTGATGGTTTATGATGCTAATCATAGGAACCACAGTACTCTTTATCTCATAATGATATCAAATCTTAAAAATACTAAAAGACTTCACTTCTCTGCACATGTTTTTGTTTAAGATTTAAACAGAAATGTGTGTACAATCCTTCAGTTTTTGCTAGCTGGAGCATTTAGCAAAACTTTCATTTTGTTCAACATGAAACAGCTGCTCTACTTTTACTGCTATCTGTAAGGCCATCAGGTAACCTGATCCATTTGTAGAAAATAACATAAAAATATATTAATACAGCATTTCTKCTAAAAAGAAATTCCTTCACCATTCCCACTACAAAGCTCTAAASAGGAGACACAAATTATCTCTACTCACTGCAAATGTCAGCAGCAGGAACCTGTTCAAGAGCATTGGGTTCTCCAGAGCAGCTCCAGATTTAATTGATTCCCAGATCTGTCAATGGTTGTAGGGACAAAAAAGAAGACAAAGGAGAGAGGAGCAAAAAGAAAATATGAGAACAGCTGCAAAAATCTGTAATTCTTCAAGCTACCTTTAGAGTATGGAAATAAAAATTCACTGTGACCTTTTCTAACTGATCTCATCCATTGTTATCTGTGTTAAAAGGGTTTTAAAGGTCAGACACAGGGAATTAYGAGGAAAGCAAAAAATTCATTGTTTTGAGTGAAAATATCCATGAAAACTTTGTTACTCAAGGCAATTAACTAAAGGAACCAAGGACTGGTCAAAGTAAAGTGTCTTAAATTTTGACTTCGACCTCTCCCCAAGCCATGACATTAAATTACCTGGTTCCAGTGAAGGCAGACCAGCCCCTCTGACCCACCTTCATCTTTTTTTAATCTCTGACTTCTTGATGTTGTGGAGCTTCCCCCATGTCCCACAGACCACAGTAATCTGGAGTTTAAACCAGGCACTGCTGGTTTCTGAGTGGCAAGACAACAAATGCTAAAAGTGTACTCGACAGAATTCAAGTCCATAGCAGCTCCAATAGCCCTGTTCAGCTTAAAATGCAATGGAGTTTTCAAAGGATAATTAATTATTATTGGTTATATTAGGTTTTACTCTCTAGCAGAGAACAGCAAAAAAGAAACACCAAACTATTCCTTCCAGAAGAAAGCAAATCCTGAGGTTGCTCAGGACTGGAGTATCTCCAAGATTTGGGGCAGAGTATAAAGCACTTCAGCTGCCAAAAAGGATTTGGAAAAAAACTGTGATCTGATTTTTAACCTTACCTCATTTGCTTCTTTATCCAGAAGTGATTTCTTATCACAGGATTTGAAAGTCTCRAAAGTGTTGGTGTTGTACAGAGTTCCAAAAGCAGGACAGCAGCGTGCTGGTATGGGAGCATTCCTGAAAAACAGAAGGAAACTTTGGGAATTGGACACCACCACCTTTCACACAACCAGCAGCAGCACCATCTATCTTATGGTGTAACCTTGCCCTGGAATTATCACATGGAGAGGCAGAGTAACAGAATTAACACCACCTCTTCATGAAAACAGTTTTGGTTTTGAACATGGATTTGCAGTATAATAATAATAATAGTAATAATAACTAGTGCAAACACATCTCCATCATTACTTCAAAAATAGATCAGGCATCCATATTATCTCAAAGCAAGGTGATACTAAATCATGGATTGAAGGTTTTAAATTCTGTTCAAATATAAGCTGGCCATGAAAAATGTGATTTTCACAAGAAAAACTTTTTCAGGCTGAATTTAGATGTCAGTATTGTACTCACATAAAGAGTTACTCAGTTAAAATTTGATGTTTAAAACATGTCCCAAAGGAAACCTAAACCAGACAAAAGATTCAGCAGCTTCTATAGCTCATAACACCATCAGCTAGAGAGGCTGCTATTTGCAAATACAGTGTTTGATTTTCTAGATAAATTAGGTAAAAACCTCACAACATTCCCTAAATTAACAGGTCTGATTTCATTGTCTCTTTTTACATGGCTCTCAAAACTGGATATTTTTCCAGTGATAACATTTAAATACTCTGGGAGAAATTACAATGTAACAACCAGGGACTGTAAAAACTATTTAAGATCCTAATTAAAGATATAAAGGAAAATTTGACCAGAAGTCAGATGACTGAAAAAGCCTCCCTAATGCAAAAAAGCTGAGGAAATAGGGGGAAAATGGTATTTTACATAAACATACATGCAGTGTGAGTGAATTTGAGAATCCAGAATATTTTAAATTCAGCCTTCAGATGAATACACTGCTTCAGAAACAAGGAATTAATTTTTTGTGTCTCAAAGCAGTCTCTCCACTGTTATAAAGTTMATGAAATCATGTATTTATTCTCATGTAGAGTTTGTCCAATTAGTATYATATATCACACACAAATAAAGGTAAACCACAGCACGTACTTACATATCAAAGGCACTAAACTCCAGTGTCAATCGAGCTGGCAAACCCAAAGGATCACCTGGACAAAAAGCAGCAACAATGCTTCTTTCAAACTGAAATACACAGATTATTTTCCTCTTTTTTTTTTTTAATTTTTTTTTGGTTGTTGTTGTTTTAAGTTACCCACTGAAACTTTAAAAATCACAGCTCATTCTGGAACGTAAGTTACCCATTGAAACATTCATTCTGAAATGTAAGTTCATTCTGAAATGTAAGTGACCCACTGAACCATTCAATATTCACAGCTCATTCTGAAATATAAATTAACCTTTGAAACAGTCAAAAGTCACAGCTCATTCTGAAAWATAAATTAACCATTGAAACATTCAAAAATCACAGCTCATTCCAAAATGTAAGTTACCCACTGAAACATTTGAAATTCACAATCATGTTTTCTAATGTTTCAGTCAAACACCTGAAATACATTACACAGATACTCAGAGAAACCTGAACTACTACAGGATGTTGGGTTTTTCCCTACCGTTGTAGTAGTAGCCCTTGATAACTTTRGGGGTCTCATCCAGTCGGTACTCATTGAGTTTCTTCTGGGTCAGCTCGTGCCAGAATCCTGCATCCAAAGCACTGCTGAAGGGAGCAAACTGCAGCTTGGAGAGCCCGGGATCCCCGGGATCCCCACTGGTAGTTGCCATGGCTTTGTCTGCTGGTCACTGCTGAACACAATTCTGTAAAAGCAGATATGCCTCATTAATCTACGCTCACTTGACCATTTGATTTTGAGCGCTCAAAGGCACTTTTTCATGCTTTTTGTTGATACATGTAATGATCTATCGTAAAAGTACAATTAGAGCAGCTTGGCAGCATTTGAAAGTATTATGAAATACAGCTTTTAAGTGAAATCCACACAGTACCCTAAAATTGCAGTTTTTCCACAAAAGTTTCCATCCCATGGCCAGAGGTGGGTGTGTTGAAGGCATCCCGTGCATGGGGYGGCAGAGGAAATCAGCACCCCTGCCTTTCCTGAGAAGGGCTCATGGCCATTATCGAGCCTATTTTCGGTGCCAAAAAACTCTTTCGTGTGTCTAAAGCCATTATGGACACACAAAAA